TCAGACATATTGACATTAACATTTTGACCTTTTTAATAAGATGTGAATTGATAATTCTTTTTTTATTCCTGATATTAGTAATTTTTATTCTCTCATTTTTTGTCTTATGTTTATTATATCATTGTAACAATTTACAAAAACTAAAATAAGTAACAGTTGTAGTCAAATAAAAACATCATACTTTCTTTTTAAAGAAAACTCCAATCACTTTGGGTTATTCTCTCATCTAATTTTGGTTTTAGTAGTTGAGCATGAGTATCTTTTCAATTAAAATAAAATTCTGGACCAAAAATAGCTGAGATGGAAAACCAAAATATATGAACCATCTGTGACTCCGAATAAACCGTCTGTCTTGAGCATGGACTTCAGGCTGTACACTAATTCACAATTATTTCTTTTTCTTCACAAATATAGGTTCTATGCCCAAGTAGAAAACGACCATTTCCTTTGAAATAGCAAAACAACTAAACCCTCACAACAATTGCAAATGCACAATTCACCTTAAAATATTAAAAATACCCATGCAAATTTAACAACACTGGGTTACTTTTATTATATAGAACTTAACTACCAAAACTACTTCCGTCCTCATGGCACTTTTATAAGAGGCTTTAATTTACAAAAAAATGCATTGAGAAGCTTTCTGTGGAAAAAGAATGAGATAACGGCTGCAGTTTTGAAAATCCAAAACTTACTAGAGTGGTTTGGTTGCAACTACACGAGGAACATGATCTCGTGCATTTGTAAAACCAATCATTTGACGATTCCAGAGCTAAGGGAATCGCCCCATCCCTACGGCAGCACCATCAGTCCCACTGAGATGTTTTCCTCTTGGTACAGCTGTGCCCTCACTGTCAGTAGCTTCACAGAAACGCTTTTTCTGCTCCTGTGTTGCATGTAGGTAACCAATATAAGCCACACATCAAGGTATTCATCGAAGCCATCCCAGGTTTGTTGAGTTTCACGAAGAGCGGCGGAGTCCCAGCTCCAAATGAAGTTATATCGTGCGGATCCCTCTGAAACCTGGGTTTCCAAAGTCTTTCCCTTTGGGTGGTTCCTTTTTAAAGGCGGGGGGCTCAGGTGCTGAAGCCACCCAGACTAGTGATGGTTTATTACTAGAGAAGCAGGCTCCTGGTGCGAGGGGCGGGTGATGGGATCTGTGTGGCCAGGGAGGTCTCAGACTTGGCTCAGGGCCCGCCCTCCCGAGTGGTGAGGATTCAGGGTGCTCTACCAAACCCCGCAGTACCCCAGGCGCCTGGGCGTGAGGCCCACGTGGCTGCAGGGCTCACAAAGGCCGGATGTGTTGTAACCTCTCTCTTCGTTTCTTGATCTGCTCAAGGGTTTGTCAAGTTTGTTGAACTTTTCGGGAATTAATGTTTGTTTTTTCTTTTCTTTTTTCCTTTCAAGGTACTCTATTGCCTATTTTTGTTGTATTGCTGTTAATCTTATCTTTATTATTTTATTATTTTGACTTTTGCCCCCCCCCCCCATTCCTTTTTTCTAAAGAATCTTAGGTTACTGATTTTGGTTGCCTTCTCCCCGCCCCCCGTAATACGAACATTTAAAGCAATACGTTTCCCTGCGAACATTGTTTTGGTAGCATCCCACAAATTTTGGTATGCGGCATTTTTGTTATTCAGTTTAACATATATTCGGATTTCATCTTCCACCCATGAAATTTTTAGGAGCATGGTTTTTGCTTTCAAAACATTTGAGATTATTGATTTCTCCCTTAATTCCATTGTCTTCAGTGAACATTCACTGTATCATCTCAGTCCTTTAGAATTTGCTGAGTATTTTATGATTTGGTAAAAATGACGTTACTTGAAAACTTTCTCTTCTGGTGTTGTTGGATATAGCATTTGATGAAAGTCAATTAATTAGATCATGTGGTTGACTTGGTTGTTTAAATTTTCTGTTTTTGCTGGTTTTTTCCCCCTAAATATTTCATCGATCCCTGTGAGATAGATGTTGAACTCTCTTACTGTGGTTGTGGAATTGTGTAATCTTTCCTTTAATTGTGTCATTTCTCCCTACCTGCGTATTGATTTTTTTGTTAGGTGTAAACATATTTATGATTATTATGGCATCCTGAAGAATTGTTCCACTATGGAATGTCTGTTTCTATATCTGGTAATACTCTTCATCTTAAAGCCTATTTTATGTAGTGTGAACACTGCCGCTCCAGTTTTCATTTGCTTGCTGTTTGTATCAAGCTCCATCCATTTTTTTCCAATACATCTGTACTTTCCTGTTTAAAATGCATCTCTCATCGGCACCATTTTGTGGTGGTTTTGTTCATTTCTTATCCACTGTGACAATATCTGACTTTTAATTAGATTATTTATATTATTAGCATTTATTATAATTATTTATGTATTTGGATTCCTGTCATCCATTTTACTATTTTTTTCTCTTTTGTCTCCTCTGGTGTTTTGTTTATTTTGTATTCCCCTCTTTCTATTCCTGCTTTTCTTGGTTTATTAGAATATGTTTTAGCATTCTACTTTAACTTACATGTTGCTATCCCTGAGTGCAGCTGTATCTTATATATCGTCCTATATCATCCTAGCTAGATCTTACTGCAGTTTTTAAAGTGCTTTTTTCCTAGGGACAACAATATATGTCCCTACCTTTTTGCAGACCACTTACAGTTTATAGTGTATCATTTTACGTAAAGTTGGAGATCTTGCAACTGTATAGACCTTTTTAATACCTAATGTACCATATACATATATTCATATAGTCATATACATTCCAACTGCACACATTAAAAACCTGACAAGACAATGTTATACTTTTTATTTTAAAGTCATAAGTATTTTAGAAAACTTGAGAACAAATATTTACCCAGATATTTACAATTTCTAAAGCTTTTCATTTTTTTCCAGAAGATCCAACATTTTCTTTGGAAACATTTCTCTTTAGCTTGGAGAAATATGTGAAACATTTCTTGTCCTGAAGTTCTGCTGGTGGCATATCTTGTTGGTGTTTCTTTGTCTTAAAATTTCTTCATTTCACCTTCCTTCCTAAAGACACTTTTCACTTGGTATAGAATTTTGCATTAACAGTTAAAAAAAAATCGGTATTTAAAGCTACCATTCCGCTATGTCTGTCCTCCATGGTTTCTAATGAGAAATTGAGAAACCTATAATTATTTGCATCACAATTTTACTAAATGTATGGCATCCTCTCCTCTTCCTCCTCCTCCTTTCTTCTTCTTCTTCTTCTCCTCACCTCCCTCTTCCTCCTTCTCCTTCTCCCCCTCTTCCTCCTTACCTTTGGTGTTCTGCCATTAGAACTATCATCTGGATAGGCACGGTTTTCTTTGAGTTTTCCTTTTTGGGTTTTTTTTCTGACCTTCAATATGTATTTTTAGGACATTCACATAACTTAAATTTGTGGCCATTTTAAATTTAACATTGTTTTCCTGCCCCCATTTTCTCTCTCTGTTTCTCTGAAATGGAGCTATTGTTTAGACCTGCCCTCTTCTGCTATTCGTGGTGGGCAGAAAGGGCCATTGTAGCAAATTTCTTTTGCTGCATAATTTGGCCTAGAGTGGGTTTGGTTGGAGGATATCCTTTCATTTTGCGTCGGTCACATTTTTGCATTTTTCAAGTGTAAATTTCAGAAATAAAGCAAAATGTCAGTGACAATGGAAACACTAGGAGAAGGAGGCACTGGCTATAAGTTAGAAGCAGTGAGCAGTACTAAGCCCGGACAGGGAGAACCTTCTGAGGGAAACCAGCAACACTGGCTGGCCCACGGGGTGGCTGCCAGGGGTGTCCGAGGCTGCTCTGCAAATGGCAACTCAAGATTGGTGTTGGAAGGATTTCTTCATGCTCCGTGCATTCATCCCTGGGCTCGATCATGAAAGGAGCTTGTGAACACAATTTCCTTGCTAAGATTTTTAAAATAAGATAGTTTTCTGTGGATCTAGGAGAGCTTATACGTGTTCCCTGCAGAGCATGCCACTGCTGACTCTGTTGGTCTCTCAAGGTCATTTCCGCCCTATCATTCTATGGCTCTATAATTAATAAGTAAATGAGAGGATCGTTTAATTAATATTACAATTACACTTGCCTGAGGTATGCTTACATCCCTGGCATTTCTGAAAAGCCATAGATGTGGTTTCCTTGAAAAGACCCTTTTGGGAAGTAGTTAGAGGTAGCCTTGCTGAGTTATCAAAGAATTGTCAGCCTTTTGGAATCCTGAAGGACCGTTTGTTTATCATAAGACAATGGTTGATAGAAAATTAGTGATCATACACAACAGTATGGCGAGAGATCAACTGCCTTGCTTTTGGCAAGAGTTAATGATTTTTTTTTTTGCAAGAGCAGCATAATGCATGATTTTGCCTTCCATTTTTTACAAAATAAAAATTTGCATACATTTCTGCAAGAGTGAGCCATAGTACTGAAGAAAAACTAAGAATCATCTAAAACAATTGCTTAGCATAAATAAGAAAGATTGGATGTAACACAGCACAACAAAAAATAATACTAGGCCTGCCTCATTGCACTGAATTTCTGCAGAGCATAAAACTTTCATCTGAAAACAAAGCAGTGGAAATAATAAATGGCTACTATAAATTAAAACTGGTGCAATTACAAGGGGGCATCCCCAAAATAATTTCTCTATGTACAGTGTGTTCTAATTGTATTGGAAAATCTCTCTCTCTCCTTGTTCTGCAAAACAAATTCCACTCTCCAAACTTGGGAAAATATTTTTGATGTGCATTATTATAATAGCCTATTGAACTAAGACTCGGAGGCTTTTGCAAAGTAGAGAATCTGCCACAATCTAACACAATAAAGCTGAAGTTCTCTTATTATACCAAATTCTCCTTTCCTCCATTCAAATGATTTCCCAGTGATGCACTTAAGCCCAGGCTCATTATAACATGTGTATTACTCCTATTACTGTGGTTAAGCAGTATAGCTGTATTTCATACAAGGGAAGGATGTTATAGCCATTGTTTTTTGTTTTTGTTTTTTCCCCACTGTACTAGGATGGAATGAACCAGCTCAGTAGCTTCTGAGGCTAACACATTTCTATCATCACAATTACTTTAGAAAATCTGGTTCCTCCACTTCTGCAACATCACGCAGAGATAATGCTTGAGTTTGTACCATAGCCATTGTTCAAAACAGCAGTCCAAGGAGTGTGAAACAAGTCTTTCAGCTCTCCAAAGAAAAACTGTCAGTTCATTTAATCTAAATACATTTGGAGTTTACTCATGTTAATTACTCTAATTTTCCTGATGACTAATATAGCACATATTCCTCCAATGATGAACATTTATCTTTCCTGAGCTTTACTCCTGAATTATTTACCCACAGGGAAATTTGTTTAAGGAGTATTAAAATCTTTCTCTTGGGAAACTGAACACAACTTTTATAATCACCATTTTTTTTAAAAAAACAGCATAAATAAGCATATTGATATTTCTTATTATCAATTCCTGCTTTCCAATTCAAATTTGCTATTGACTCTGCTGAAACGTGAATATAAAAGATGTCTCCCTCCCACTTACATAGAAATGGTGTTTGATGTGTGGTGGGTTATTGAATATGGCTTCAGTCTTTTCCCTGGAGCTGGAATGTGGACTCTCTCTAGGTTCTGTAGACTTTCTTTTTTTTTTTTTTTTAAAGATTTTATTTATTTATTTTTAGAGAGGGAAGGGAGGGAGAAAGAGAGAGAGAGAAAAACATCAATGTGCGGTTGCTGGGGGCCATGGCCTGCAACCCAGTTATGTGCCCTGACTGGGAATCGAACCTGTGACGCTTTGGTTCGCAGCCCATGCTCAATCCACTGAGCTATGCCAGCCAGGGCACTCTGTAGACTTTCTATGGAGTCTGTTTCATTTGGGCCAGGAGGTCATGTGACTTCCAAAACAGACAATTCTGTGGTACTGGGCCAGCAGCTCTGTCACACACACACATTTTCTGGATATCCAAATCAGCAAAGTTATTGGTGAAAATGAAGAACGTGTCTTTTATTTTACAGAAAAAGAAACCCATAAGGACTTTTGGCCAGCCCAGCCTTTACACGGCAGAGCTCGGAAGACCCCGCACACAGGGGCTCTGTGCCCTCTCCCACCCCAGCCAGCCTGAGAGCCGACTGGTACACTTTCACCCCTGGGTGAGTGTGTTTGAGAATACCTAGGGGCTTCTCTTCTTTTCTATTTTGGGCCGACCTTTCTAGTCGCAGGGTACTGGACTGGTGGTTGATGAGTGAATGCTTCATTCTGTGATTTTTTTTTTAACTCTGTAACTCTCTTCCAGAGATTGGAATTCAGGCAGCCTGCAGAACTTCGTTTAGCACTAATATTCATTCCACATTCACTACATACCCACGATGTGCATGTGCTGTGCGAGGTGCCAGGGGTACAGTAATGATTATGACCTACATGGCTCTTGTCTTCATAGCGGGTACATCCCCAGGGGCTCTCAACCCTGGCACTATTGACATTTCGGATGGGTGGTTCTTTGTTGTGGAAAGTTTAGCAGCATTCTTCCATCCACTAGAGGGCAGTAGCAAACCCCCTCCCCCACTTCCCCCCAGTCGTGAAAATCGAGACTGTCTCAAGACATTACCGAATGTCTCCCGGGGGAAAATAAAATAAAATAAACTACCCTGGTTGAGAAGCTCTGTGATAAACAGTTGTTACACAATAGAAGCTAATTGTATGAGGGATGATGCCACTTGAATAGGTCCAATTATCATCTCCATTTTACAGGTGGAGAAACTGAGGCACTCAGAGAGCAAAAAATGGCTCAGTTAAACAGCTTTTAAGTAGTCAAAGTAGATTGTAACTCACGTATCCTTGATACTTCTTCAGCTGGACAAACGGGACAAAAAACAGACTAGGAAGCAGAAATAGCATAATCTGGGAGAAAAAATTAATAACCAAAAGATCAACACCATTGGTCACAGATTTTTAGGGAAGTTATCTGAAGTACTTATTAAAAACATGCGTATTTTATGGCTCCAGATTGTAATAAGAAGATAGAGCTCAGGTCTTCTGTACTTGAAATCCGAACAGCACGCTTGTGAAGGGTCCTGAGGAAAAAGGCGAGGGGCGTTGTCCAGACAGGTACGCGGTGGCTCAGGCGCTAGGAGGTGAGCTCGCTTTGAGAGAGGACACGCACAGGACGTGAAGGAGTTGAACCGGAATCGTGATGAATGGTGCAAATTGATTAACGTGATTTCTGGAGGGTGATGCCCGGAATGCGCTGAGGCTTGCAAAAAAATCCTTGCAAAAAAATGCCCGACAACAAAAAGACCCTTTCAAGCTATGTGTGGAGCACGCAAGCAGCGGAGAGGCCCTCTGCTTGGAGCAGATGGCCCGAAGCTAACAGATGACGGAGGGAGAGCGCGGCGGCTCAGCTGAGTTCTGCTGTTGCATCCAGGAAAACCGTGTTCCAAAGGGGAAGGTATTTTAGAGGAAATATTTTGAAAGGAATCAAAGCCCAAGAAATGAAAGAAGTCGTAAAACACCTGTTTTAGATGGATGAAAATCGCTTCCTCTATTCATTCCTCCATTCGCCAAGTATTTTCTGAGCGTCTGCTGCATGCCGCGCAGGGCTGAGCAAGGGGGGAATGGCCCTGCTCAGTGGCTGCATCCAAGGACTTCATTCTTCGGTGGAAATTTGCTGGGATATTTGTACATCCGGTGTTCCGTGTACCATGTGGGGGCCACACATGTGAGTTCATGGAGACCTCACCTGGTGTGAAGAAAGGAATCGTTAGGTGACTTCTCGGGCTCCTAAAAATGAGGATTTAGCAAGGTGGGAAAAGCGAGGCGGGGGGGGATGAAGAAGCAAGGTGCTGGCAGAAGAATATGGATGCTCAAGGCCAACATTTACGTTACAGCCCCTTCGGGAGTCTGCCTCTGTGACCCCATGCTCCCGGCTGGCCATCTTGGAGGAACCATGGGAATGACGTGTCTCCAGAAGACTGGGGGCGGATAAAAGCTTGATTTTCAAAATCAGGGTCATACTGAACAACTGCTCCCACTTTCCCAAATCTTAACTGTTTGCTCACCCATGTAAATCCCCCCTCGTACTCTTTGTATCAGACACCAGGTGGAAAAGAGAGCCCTGTTCAACATGTAGGTGTTGTCTCCTCATTCTCCCACATTGGGTTTCAGGTAAGCAGTTTCTAGGTTCAATTTTTCCCCCCTCTCTGGATAGAATCACCTTACAGCACTTGCTGATTCTGGTGGGATATATATATATGCTTAGCAGATTCTGAGCTGGGCAATCGAAGGTGCCCCCTATGGCCAGGTCAACTGTGCCCAGCTCCAGAGTTCACCAGTCCCAGGGTGCTAAGGACCCACAAGAGTTATGGTCAGGTCCAGAGACAGTGGGCTGGTGAAACAGTTTAGAGCAATGTTTATGAATATCTTACCACTTCTGGACAGGAGGTTTTCAGTGAAGTAGCCCAGAGCTGCCTGCTCTGTCCACAGGGGCACTGTTTTAGCCTAGAAATGCGGAGACCACAATGGCAGAGGGTGAAGAGGTGGGGGAGATGGCTTGTAAGTTGGATAACTTGTAAGAGTCCACATGAGACTCTTTTCAGTTTGCAATGAAAAACCAAAACAAAGAACGTGAAATTCATCACAGATTAGATATAAGGCTCTGAAGTTTGCTGGAAAAATCAATTTTATGAGTGCAGGATGGAGGAGACAAAGCGATGTATGTAAAAGGAGGCTTATAAAGTTTAATTAATCATGCGCTCAACATAAACCAGTCACGTGATGTGGCTGCTGAGAAAACAAAGGTGATCTTTCTTGTCTCTTGAAAGTTTCCTTCCTTGAAGCTTTTCAAATTACAAAACTCATAAATGCGTGTCTTGAAAAGTGGAACCGAAGTAAAAATTTAAAAGGATATAAAAAGGAAATGCTAATCCTCTTCTCCTTTCGGGTTCTTGGCCCCCTTACAACAAATAATTATCCGCCCAAAATGTCAGCAGTGATGGGGTTCAGACCCCTCCCATCAGAATCGTATGATCTTCTGTGAGTTCTTTGCATACCAGCTGTCGTGGAAATGACCACCAAGTACAATTTTCACTCCTGAGTTTCGCCCTCTGTAAAATGGCATTGGTAACAGCACCCACCTAGAGAGTTGTTATGAGTATTAGATTAAATAGAACATGCCAAGCATGGAAAGCCCCATGTGCGGGAAAACCCAGCAGAGCCCTGAGGCACGGACCTTCATTCACAATGTCACAGCAAGAGGAGGCACCGAGGGGGTGTTCTGCCTGGCCAAGGAGGGTGGAATTTTTATAGAACTTTAGCAAAGCGAGGTCAACTGAAGTTCAGCGAGCTGTGGGACTAGAGACTGAAAAAGGGTCCTTGGGGGTGGGGTGAGGAGTTGCTCCTCTGGACGAGCCTCCCTTGGCTGGGCCATTTGGGTTTTATCAAGAGGAAGAGTGGGGCTAAGGTCATCTGAGGGCCAGGATGGAAATTATTAATCCTTCAGGGCCTCTTACAGTGTGCTCAATAAATGCTTGTGGTTGATGTTGTTCTGGTCTTCCCACTTTCTGAGCTGACTCTGTACAGTGTGCGGGTTTTTCTTTTCCTTTTTTTTTTTTTTTTTTACCTCTGTGAACCAATAGGAGAAAAGCTCTTGGATCCAACAACATGACCCACAGCTTCAACTGCACCCCTCCAGGAAGGGGTGGATTCCCTCTTTGTGGTGGAAATCAGTCAAGACCAACCAAATAAGAAAAGCAAAGGCTATTTCTTCTGAGCTTGCTATAGCAAGAGTCAGCCAGCATTACTTGCGCCTGGCAGAGGTGGGAAGGCAGGTAGAGTGGGCAGGGGAGGTTTCCGTGGAGGAAAGGGATCGCTCAGGGGTGCCCTGCAGAGTGGGGGGCTGCTGGCACCGGGGAGACAGGCATCCATGTGATCGGTTCAGGGGACATATTTGGCTTCCTCTGGTTGGTCCTAAGTTGGAAGAACATCCAAAAATTAGGGAGGCTGTCTGTTATTAAGCAAGTCCTGGCCATTTTGAGTCAATATTATAGACTTCGGTTCAGCTTCCTGGGTTTTCACAAAAGAGAGCAATATGGCTTCCTGCAAGTCTGGCTGGTACACAGGCTGGCTCCCTGGGTGGTTTCTTGT